AGAGGTCCCTTCAGAGGTTCTGGGGGTCTTCAACCCTTCCTGCAGGTCCTGGTCTGGTACCTGGTCGGACCTCCACGGTTCCGGTGTCTGAGCTGCTCTGTCCTTTGCTGTCAGTCACTGTCAGGGTGAAGCTGTACTTCCCCTCCACCAGGTTTCCCAGCAGCAGCACCGCCTGGTGGTCAGAGTTGTTCAGCACATCCTGAAACGCAGAGCAAACATCAAGCAGCTGCAGGACCAGAGCGTTTCCATCACCCTCAGAGCGAGGAGAACCTTCTCACCCCGGCTGCAGGACTGCTTTCACCTCGGCTCCACTGGAAGCTCAGGCCGCCTTTATCGTCCGAGGAGCGGGACCCGTCCAGGACGGCGGTCCTGACGGGCAGAGAGACGGGCTGACTGGACAGGACACGGGCCACGGGCGGCTGGTCCGTTTCTGGAGGGACGACATCATCAGATCAGGACAGAAAGTTCTGAGGACGATCCAGAGGGAACTGGTTCTGCTGGGGGGTCATTCAGAGACCCCCTCCAGCCTGGAACCAGCTAGATCCGGTTAGCACCGAAGATAAACTCTAGTCCAACGACATAGGCCGGGTTTTAGAAGCAGAAGAAATAAAGAGAAAAAATTAAACCAAATTATAAAAATAGAACTACTGATATATGGACCATAAGGGTTTATTTCACTGCATTATTGTTGGTTTAAATGTTTATCATTTATTATTATTCTACTAAACCAGAGGAGAAGATCCACAGCATGAAGGCAGGACATTTGCAAAAAGTTCTACAAAAGAAATCTAAGTTTAAGAAGTTCTTTATTACTAATTTCTACCTCAAACGAAGGCTCAGCCAGCGAGGAACGTTTATACGCATTTAGATATTTTTATTTTGTTTTGTAGTCATGACAACATCTCACATTAGTTTATGTTCTATTTTAGTTAAAAGGTGGTTTTTGTGTCAATAGCAAAGAAAGAAAAAGAAGATTTGCAATAAAACTGACTTTAAATCAACATTAGCTCTTTATTGAGTGGAAGTGATCGTTAATTTAGACAAACTAACATTTATTATCAATTTATGAGATCAGGAGTCGGTGTGAAGAAAAATAAGGAAAAATCACAGAAAAAGAAAATAATCCTTAAACAGCGCAGCTAAAACTGGGGTCAAAGGTCACACCAAAGGCGGCTTTAAAGGAACCCTCATCGGGACCTCATGACATCACAGACCTTCTCTGACGATGACGGTCACCGTGTCGCTGCTCTCCAGCTTCCTCTCGTCCGTTACGGTCAGTGTGAACTTGTACGTGCCGACCTCCAGGCCCATCACCATGGCAATGGCGCCGTCTGCATTTTCTATTTTCACCCCATCAGGACCACTGGAAGGAGAGAGGGTCAGAGGTCAGGGCAGACCCAGAACAGGTCCATTTTTCAGAGCTTCATCCAGGTCTCCAGCAGGAACCCGGACACCTGACCTGGTCTTGGCCCAGTGGTAGGTGGCGATCTTCTGGTCGTCGCTGCTCTTACTGCCGTCCAGCGTGGTTCTGTCTACAGGCAGCGTTAGCTCCTTCTCCGGCCCGGCGTCCGCTACCGGCGGCTTGTTGTTCTCTGCAGGAGAAACCAACAGAACATTCCAGATCACAGAACCTTCCAGCTCTGATTGAACCCTGTAAACCTGTTTCTGGCTCATGGTAACATCCTAATGACCCATTCAGGTCACAGCCAGGTGGTTCTGACCTGGCTGGACGATGACGGTGACCTTGGACGTGTCCTGCTGCCCTGCAGAGTCAGTCACTGTCAGCTGGAAGGTGTAGTCTCCCTCCTGCATGGCGGACAGCTGCAGGATGGGGGTCCGAACACCCTGAACAACATCAGAACACAATGAGGCCGGCTGCTTGGCCCCACAGAGACGCCCACGCCGCTGCAGAGCCTCACCTGCATCTCCACCACCTTGTCCTTGCTCTCTGGGCTCAGAGACCACTCGTAGGACAGGTCGTCGTGGTCGTCGGTGCTCTGGTTCCCGTACAGAGTGATGGAGTTCCTTGGCAGCTGCAGGACCTGGAAGGAGCAGAAGAACAGCGGCTTTTGGTTCGGTTTTGGTTCCTCCTGTGGTCTGATCCTGAACAAACGGGAGGCAGAAGGTTTGTGACCTGGTTAGGGCCGGCGTTGGCCACAGGCCGGTAGTCCTTAGCTTTGTTCACAGAGAGCGACGCCTGCGTGGAGTCTGTGGCTCCATCAGAGTCCGTCACCGTCAGACTGCAGAAGAAAAAAATGATTTTCACCTTTTCTCTGTAAAACGCTCTGATCCAGCAACGCCGCCTTTGATTGGCTCCTCAGACCGAGCTTAGAGACGGACTGGAAGAAAGGCAGATTAATAATCAACGCTCGGCCATATGAACATCCGCTGGAGTTACAGGTTCAGTCTAATGACAATAAAGTTGGATTCTATTGACTTCTATTGTAGCTCAGGTGTTTCCTGCTGTCAGGTGACGGCGGAGCGTCTGAACGGCTAACATCAGGATGAGGCGTTTACCGCTCAGCTTCCAGATGGGAAGCAGCTTCCTCTTCCTCTCAGCAGGGATTTATTATACGGATCTATAATAGAAAAGGTCATAAACACTTTATGTGCTGCTGCTCCAGAATCTGGACCACGACCGGGTCAGACTGGGCCCCCTAAACCGGGTCAGACTGGGCCCCCTAAACCGGGTCAGACTGGGCCCCCTAAACCGGGTCAGACTGGGCCCCCTAAACCGGGTCAGACTGGGCTCTCTAAACCGGGTCAGACTGGGCCCCCTAAACCGGGTCAGACTGGGC